CCCCAAAACCCCAAAACCCCAAAACCCCAAAACCCCGCAAGGCAGAATCAATAACTGACTTTGCAAGATAGTTTAAATAAATAAAATAATCTGAAATGAATGCACTCTTCAACATCTAACCTTAAAAAAGCGAGTATCAGAAACAAGTTACTATCTAGAATCCAGATGACCCTAATCAGATACTCAGTTCATAGTCAGTCAGAAAAAGCTATCATAAATCAATTGGAACAACGGTCTTTAGTCCTCAAAGTTTTATGTCTGGAGCAAATCGTTCTTAAGGTTAATGTAAGAACTGAGCTTTGAATCTTATTCCAATTTAATATAGATTTCTCAAATCTCAAGAAAGAGCTTAAAGATTAGATTGGGGAAAATGATGACGAATTTATAAACATAGAATAGAACATTGATAGACTCTTAGATGTGCACCAATAGATGAGCGCTCTACTATCTGATTATGATAAAAAACTGCTTAAAGTGTTGGAAAGGCATGAACATGATTTCTTGGCTGCTTATAAGACTCACATGACGAAAGTTGAAAAAGAGCTTTCATACTTGAAAGGTAAGGCCAAAGATTAAGAAAAAAGACTGGCTTAAGACGAAAGGATACTGAGACTAGAGAAATAATTGTAATGGTTTTAAGATGAACTATCTAGACTGCAAAAGAAATCAGAGGGCAACGTGAATGAAATTGATATGCTCACGAACAAAATGTCTTCTATGAAAGAGGAAAAGGCATTCATGGAGGATTAAGTTAAGGCCTCCAAAAGACAAAATAAACTACTAATCGTTGCCCTTAACAAAACTTAAATACAAAGAGATGATTTATAGGATGAGAATTCTGATTTACAAGTTCAAATGGTTGAAACAAAAAAGGCAGCTGTTGAAATTCCTTCTCTTGAGCAATCTCCCTTCGACATAACTGGCTTAAATAGTCAACTGCAAGTTGCTTAATAGTTCTCTTAAATATAGCCTAATGATTAAGAACAGAGTCGACTATTCGGAGATCCAAAATAAGTATTTTCAGGCAAAGCAGATCTTGAGAAAAGTTTCATGGCCTCTACTGAGTATCCTAGTGAGATGAATACAAGCAGGTTCAAGCCTCTTGAATCCTAATTTCAAAATAACACCAGTGCGATCAACAATAAGTTGAACAGCGCATTTTAGAGTGTTGATATGATGAATAAGGATCTTTAGAATTAAATGGCTATGAGTTCAATAAATGCTAGTCCTGATGAATTTACTCCAGAAAATGTTTTACAGTAGTTCGTTATTGATTTGATTAACTCTGGAAGAAGCGATCCTGAAATAGTTGAAAGTATAGAGTAATATTACAATAAACTATCTTCAAATTCTGATGATGAAATCCTCAGATTAAGAGAAGAATTAGAAATTTAAAAGGCATTGACTAGACAGCTTTAAGCAGATGAAGTTGTTATACCTGCTGTAGATTAAGATGATTTGAGTAACTACTTTTTGGAATGTGTTTATGAGCAGAGAAAATCATTGAGGCATCAATTAGTGACTATGAGAAATAGCTTCAAGAATCCAAATGCAGCAAACAATACTACAGTTAACACCACTGTTAATTTAAATGCTAGTAAACTTACATAGAACAGTGGAAATGGAAAGACTGTCTCAAATGTGTTTAATAACAGCCTGCTCAACACCTACATCAATACAGTAAAAACTGGATCATAGGAAGAGATAGAGCAATTTTCCTAAATAGAGAAACAAAAGCTAGTTCAACTCTTGGTGACGAATTCTGAGCTTCTAAATTTTATGTTTGACAAAATGTTTAAGAACAAAAAGAGTCAAAAGAATCAAAATCAGTCCAACTCATAAGCAATGCTAAATATTAACTAGAATATGGATTTGGTAAATTTTGAGGATAATAGCAATAATAATCTCAACTTTAACACAAATAACTAGGTCACTTCATATGATCTTGATAATTACAATATGAATTTCTAGACATAAACAAGAGCCACATTTTCTCCATAGGTATATTATCAACCTCCATCGTAGAAAAGCAAAACAGTTAAGGCCTCTCATCAGTAAATATTTGGAAAGTAAAATTCATCAGATCCACTACTTGCCTTTAATAAACAGGCTAATCCTTATGAAAGATAAGGCTACTAAGCACCTCTTAAAGATCGAAAGCAAAGATCAATGCTTGCTTCCATGCAAAATTAAACAACAGATAATGTGAAAAATTTTGATCACTCTAACACAATGAATCTTTAAAATAACAAACTTCCAGGAATCCCTGCATACAACCCAAATAGCAGTGATTAATAAGTAAACGACGCTTACTTTTCCGCTTCACCTTTATTAGTTAAAGATCATAATAATTAAACTGTAAAAGTAGGTCTACAGTAATCTAATATTCTACTCTCAAGGATAAAAGAGTCAAATTTTAACTCAAACATTCTATCTCAGTTAGATACTGACATGCTTTAGTAATAATATTTGAGTTAAGACATGTCTTAATAAAACTCTTAGAACTAGAAGTTTTAGGACAAGGAAGTGATTTATTCCAGACGTAGTAAGCTAGCTGAATTGGCTGAGAAAAATATATTTCCGGATATGCAAGGAAGGATGGGGCCCTATGATGATACATACAATAACTCTGCCAATCTACTGCAGAATAAAAGCTTGATGATGAAAAGTAAAATGATGGACAGGAGAGGAAAGAGTACCAGACCAATGATGCAGGTGAAGAATGGAAAATTGCTTATTGTTAAAGCAGGAATATTGCCTCAGAACTGAATAATGATTAGATGAATAGCAAACTAAATGAGGAATAAATAATAGTTTAATAATGAGTGATAAGTACTTATTTATAAGCATATTTAGATAAATAGTAAAACATGAGTTTTTTATGGTTTCTAAGAGATATTAATCTGAATAACTTAAAATTAAACTTGCAGTGATAAATCTATATATACTTAATTGGTAGAATCCCAGCAAGAGACTCAAACTCAACTTGATTCCAAATTCAATGAGGAGGGTTTTCATTTCTTGTTCTTGAGGTTGAAGTAGCTATTCATGATGCCATCTTCCTATTCAGCAACTGGGTTGTAAAGAATACCACCACAAATCTTCTTCTACTTGGTAGCTTCTTCCTTGTTCTTGATCGCTTCATCGAGAATTTCATCCTTTGAATTGAACTTTCTATTCTCATAGGCTTTGAGATTGTAGCACTTGAGGAGTCTGCATATTCTGAGTCTGATTTCAGTCTCACTCCATTCACTTCTAAATGTTTCCATCTTCTGCTTTATATCCTTGTAATTGGTGACTCCATACTTGATCACACCCTTTTATAAATTATAAGCACTTAGTTAAACTTACCTTGATGAGTTCCTCGTTGATCTCCTTAGACCAATAATGTCCCTTCTTGACATTGAAATACTTGAAGTTGAGGGATCCATCCTCGAAATAAATGTTCTTGTTGACCTCAATGAAAGATTATCTCATCTTAATGATGTAGTTTCTCTTGGCATAGTCTAGTTCATTGCTGATGCTACCTACTCTCTAGTTGAGTTGTTTTGGCAACAAATGCTGTTGAGCTTGGTATTTGGCGGTGCTTGTCATTAAATTATTAATAATTTCGTAATCACTTTTATTTTATTGAAAAATAACTCGCGGGGTTTTGGGGTTTTGGGG